GTTTCTCTCTTTCTGTGTGCCTCTTTCTGTCTCCTTCCTTCCCTCCCTCCCTCTCTTTCTCTTTCTCCCTTTTTCAGGTAATTCCAGGAAGGAGCAGAAGAAGCTGGTTTTCTCTTCTGTTCTGTGTCCTTCGCTCAGAGGTTGCTGAAGTTATTAGAACTGGCTGGGAAAGAACAAGGGGGGTGGGAGAACAGTGTGCTTCCCCAAGGCTAATTGCTTTGGAAGAAAGTGCACCAAGCCTCCTTCCATCACCTAAATCTGCCTACTTATGACTCAGACATCACCTAGGGCTAATGGCTCACATTTTCATGGTTTAGTCTTTCTCTGCTATTGAGAGCAGTAATATCCCATTATATTCCTATATTACAATTTGTTTAGCCTTTCACTAATAGCTGTGAACTTTGTATTTGCTTCAGTGTTGCTATAAATATTTTGAGGTATATAGAACCTTTCTGCCTTTGACTCCCTTGGCATCTCTCTCTCTCTCTCTCTCTCTCTCTCTCTCTCTCTCTCTCTCTCTCTCTCTCTCTCTCTCTCACACACACACACACACACACACACACGTACACATGCACACACACGCCATATGTATAGGATCTCTGGGTGAAAGAATAGGGACATTTTAGTTACCTCCTTAGCATAATTCCAAATTAGTTCCAAAGTGATTGGAACAATTCACAGTGCTACCAAGAGTGTATGAGTATGCTTGACTTTCCATAGCCTCTCCAAGATTAAGAATCTTTTGTCATCTTCGCTAAGCAGACGTATCTAAGATAAAACCTCAGAGATAGAGCTTCTATTAGGCTCTTAATATGTGCCAAGTGCTGGCACAAGTGGAAGTGAGTAAGACAGTTCCAACCCTCAAGAGGCTTATATTCTGATGGAGTAAGGCATCGCATAAAGAGGAGATAGAAAACGAGTGGTACGGGAGATGATTGTGTATTAATGTGATACAGAGTGAGCCAGGCGATGGTATGGAGACCTGAGCCCCAGAAAGGTAAGACAAAAGCTCAGTTATCAGAGTCAGGGGAACTGGGGACAAATTCCAAGTTACTGGTGGGGAAAAGGTTGAAATCATGGTCTGCACGAAGGAGGCATGGGATGGAGCACGCTGGGAAGAGTTGTTTTAATTTGCATTTCTCTTACAATTAGTGATTCAGAGCATTTTATATGATTGTTAGCACTTTGCAAGTCTTCAATTAAGAAATATTTGTTAATATCTTTTGGCAGTCACTTATCTATTGGGGAATGGTTTTCGGTGATTTATATTTGTGTTAGCTCCCTGTTTGTCTTGGATATGAGACCCTTATCAGAGATATTTTATGCAATTCTTTCCATTTGAAGGCTTGTTCGCCTTCTTATCCTCAGTTGTGTTTATTTTTCTTTTGTGCAAACACTTTTCTATCTCATTTAATTGAAATAATCTATTTTATCTTTTGTGGTTTCCTCTAGCTTATTAAGTCTCCTGTACCTGTATTTATGACATGATATCCAATTCTATTCCCTTCTAATTTTTTATGAGATGAATATTATCTTTAATATTCAGGAAGCATTTCCATCTTGACCTCATTATAGCACATGGTGTTAGACGCAGCTCTAACTCTAATTTCTGCCAAACATCTTTTCAGTTTTCTCGAAGTGATTCCCAGGCATGTGCCAGAAACGTTTAACAACCACCTCTCCAAAAATACTTAACCGACTTTTAAGTTCAATCTTCATTATTAATTCCCCTACTCAACCAATTCCTTGAGGGTAGAGACTGTTTTTCAGCCTTTCTTTGTAGCCCCCATGTTTAGCACAATGCCTGAGCATAGTAGGCATTTAACAAATGTTTGTTGACTGGCTGATTGACTATTATCCCAGGGCTTGGCACAGTTCCTGGCACACAGTTGGCACTTGGCAAGTGTTTGTTAACTTGACCTACAAAGTACTTTGAAATTTGAAAAGTCCTTCACATGGATTATATTCTTTGATGAGTAAACTGAGGGTGAAGATGGGTAAGAGACCTGCCTGGAGTCACACAGCTCAGAATTAGTGTCTGTGGTAGGATATAATAACAACAGTCTTGTGGGTATACTGTTTAATGATTTACAACAGGGTAAAATCCCCATTTTACAGATTCAGAAGCATAACAGTGAGGTTTTCACAGCCCTTCATTATGCCTCACAAATCCCTTTGCAGATTCAGTCTCATTTGAGCCACACAACCACCCTGTGATGTGGGTACTGCAGGTGTTACTAGCCCCATTTAATAGATGGAAGAACTGAGGCTCAGACAGATAAAGTGGCTTGGGAATAGAATGGAAATTGTGCTGGATTGGAGTCAGAAGTTCAGGGTTCAAATAGAGCAAATCACTTAATCTCTCTCAGCCTCAGTTTCCTCATCTGTTAAATGAGGGAATTGGACCAGGTGGCCTCTAAGCCCCTTCTAGCTCTAGGTCTGTGACCTTAGGATGCCCAAGGTAAGTCGTAAAGCAGTAAGTGTCAGAGTTAGGATTTGAACTCAGGTCTTCCTGACTTCAAATTCTGTACCATCCACATTATAATCATACACTAAATGACTTCTCCAAAGTCAATTAGCTAGTAAAGAGCAGAGTTGGGACCTGAACCATGTCCAATCTCCAAGATTGGTGCCCTTCCCATGATACTACAACATGGTGGAAGGGCCCGTGGGACCCTGGGGGGGGGGGAGGCTACATGAAACCATTGTAACCTTCCCCTCAAAGGAAGAGGATATCAGGTTGGGGGTGGGGCTTTAGGAAATGCTATGCTCCTTTAATGTCCCCAGACTCCTCCTAGATCAGGGAGATCACAGTTTCATTATAATAACCCGCCAATCAATCCTCAAGCACTTACCAAGCTCTCACTCCATGCTGGGCATTATGTTGGGTGCTGAGGGACGTGCGAAGGCAAAGAACAAAATGATCTCTGTTCTTGACGAGTTGTTGGATCATGAAACCCAACAGTCCCTGAAGAATTCCAAATGAAGGCCACACAGGGGCAGCAGAGTCGCACATGCTGAGTGTGAACAAGATATAGCAGATAAAGAAGAATCTACAAGGAATTGCAGTCAAGGGCATCGTGGAGAAGTGGATAGTCAAAAAAGATGGGCTTGCCATGGGGAGAGTGAGGGATGAGAGAGGGATGACTGCCAGCTCTCTGGCATGAATGAGGACTGAGGATGGCCCAGGATGGCCAGGCACTGGCAATTGGGAATCTGCATCACTGGTGGGCACTCCTGAATTGAAAAGGTCACAAATCAATTGGTGTATCTGATTATTGAAGTTAAAACCATTTCTATCTGGGCTTCTCAGCCCTGAGGCTAGTGGTAAAGTTGCCAAGCATGAATTAAGAAAGCAGAGGCAAGGGGCAGTAGGTGTTGCAATGGATAAAGCATCGGCCCTGGAGTCAGGAGGACCTGAGTTCAAATCCAGCCTCAGACACTTGACACTTACTAGCTGTGTGACACTGGTCAAGTCACTTACCCCCATTGCCTAGACAAAAAAAAGAAAAGAAAAAAAGAAAAAGAAAGCAGAGGCAAAAGAATTATCCACAACACCCACCAGTCCTATAACTACTGGCAGTGGGCTCTGCTGTTCCTCCTGCTTACGTCTCCTGGGACATCCAGGAATCCAACAGTTCTCATGACTGCCAGCCAGGGGCTCTTTCCCCTACAACATTCCATCTCTATTATTTAATGCCTGATTCTAAGCTTCTCTCTAACTCTGGCATTCTCTGTTCTGTGTTTCAAGGTCTTCCCAGTCCTGACACTCCCCAACTCCGTGTCTCGGCTGCTCCCAGGGAGCTCCTAGTCTGGTTAGGGGCGATGAAACTCACATTCAAGGAACAAGAATCAATATATAATAGTTTAAAAGCCCTATAGACCCCAAACTTTGGGAGAAATTGAAATATGGAGGCATCAGGCAGGACAGGCTAAGTGGAGGAGGCAGCATGGAGCAGTCCCTTCCCTAACTCCAAAGGAATGTAAATAATAGTAATTATTATTAGGTGTTATTAATAATAATAGCTAGCATTCACACAGTGCTTTAAGATTTACAAAGCACTTTACATATCTTAGCTGATTTGATCCTCACAACAACCTTGTGAAGTAGGAGCTATTATCATCATTTTACAAATTTGGAAACTGAGGCACAGAGAAATTAAGTAACTTGCCCAGGGTCACACAACTAGTATCTGAGGCAGAATCTGAACTCTTCACTCTATCCACTGTGCTACCTAGCTTGCCTTGAGGACAGGTAGTTTTTTTTTTCTTTTTGCCTTTATGTGTCCAACACAATGCCTGGTGGGAGATCTGGATTATCCAGTCCTGAGGCTCTCACTGGTTGTATGACCTTGGGTAATTCTGTTCTTCTCTCTGGGCCTCAGTTTCCCCACCTGTAAGAAGAAGGCATTGGGCTAGATGACATCTAAGCTTCCTCTGATCCTGAAGATAGGAAGAAATCTATACAAGAAACTTTTAAAAATTTAAAACTCAAAAGCTTATGGAAGTGATTGTTGATAATTAAAAATAAATTAATAAAAAATTTTTTTTGAAAAAGAAACTTTCACTAGCCTCTAGCTGAGGTCAACCCTTTGACCAAGTCAGCTGGGCATGCAGCCTATGCTCCTGAGTATCTGAGAACTTCCCATTTCCAACCCCAAAGGCTAGTCTGGTTTAGTACTTAATAAGCATTTCTTTTGGGAAACACTCTCTTTAAGGAGTCAAAACCCTGCTAACCCTTCATTGTACTCTGTAGAGGACTACTGCATGCTTGCAGTTCCTCACATACAACATCCCATCTCCTGCCTCTGTCTTTGTGCTGGCTGTCCCCCTTCCTGGAGGCTCTCCCTCCTCACTTGTGCCTCTTGGAATCTCAGATGCTCCAACCTTTCCTGACCCCCAAACTGTTAATGCTCCTACTTGGTGAGCTGTTGACATCCTAAAGATCCCTGGTATAATGTAAGCTCCTAATTAGACTACATTTGATGTAATCTCAAAAATCAATCAACCAATAAACATTTATTAAGCACCATATGTTTACTGTGTGTTGGGTAGTATGCTAAATGCTGGGGATACAAAGACAAAAGCTAAGCAGACCCTGCCCTCAGGGAGCTTCCATTCTTAAGGGGGAGACAAGATATAAAATACATGCAAGATATATACAGAGTTAATAAGACAAAACTGGAGGAGACAGTCATAGCGTGTCGGGGCCTTGGCAAAGGCCTCTTGGAGGAGGTGGGGCTTGAGCTGAATCTTGAAGGAACCAAGAAATAATAATCTATAAAGAATGAGATCCTCTCATCTCAATAGATGTAGCAAGGCTTTGGCCAGCTCACTTATCCTTAGCTATTACTTCCAATAACAATACCTAGATACTGTTATTGGTGCATGTCAAGAACGAGTAGAATTGGGAGCCAAGATGTGGGTTTGAATCTCTGCAGCTCATTGTGATAACTCACCTATGCAAGCCATGTCACCTCCCTTGGACTCAGTTTCCCCCTTTGTAAAATGAGGGGGTTAGATTAGATGTTCTTTAATGTTCCATCCAGTCTAGATGTTTGAGACCTTTTCTTGAGTGGTCCTGCCCCTGCCAGAGTTCAGCTGAAGTAAATGGTTGAAGAGGAATGGGGGGAGAAGTAGAAGCCATAGATCACCAGCAAGGGGCCTTGATCTTGGAAGGCCCCAGGCCTCAGCCTTGACTCACCCACTGAATTCTTTCCTGGGCTCTCAACTCAGTCACGTCTCTCCCCTCGTATGTACTTCCTTACCTTCCCCAGTGTGGACTTCCCAAAGGGAGGGGCTTCTTATAAGCTAGCAGGGCAAGGGTATTGGGGAAGCCCACTCCCTTCTCACATAGACATATGTCTGCCTGAGATAGTCCTTGGTTATTTGTGATGAACCCCTTATTGTGAATCCCAAGGTCTCTTCTGTCTTCAGGAGGCCCAAGGACTTAACCTAAGGAAAAGTTTCATATCAGTTGTCCAGCCAAGGAATGGGCTACCTCAACTGTCACTGGAGGTTTTCAAGCAGCTGCTAAATGAGTCTTGGCCAGGAGGTTACAAAGGATTCTTGCTTTCAGAGGATGAACCAGATCCTCTCTGGGGATCCATCCATCTCTGAGAGTCTAGGATTCCATCATTCAATGATCCTAAGAAAATGCCAGTGGGGGTAGATGGAGTACTTCTATAAGTTAACTAAAAGAACAGCTTTTCCAAGATAAGAGGCATTGTGGGGTGGTAGGAATGGGAAAAACCATTTATGAAGCCTCTACTATGTGCAGAGTCCTAAGCTCCCTCTAGGTAGACAAAGATGACTATTGCAAATCCAGCCCCAGACACTAGCTGAGTGACCCTGGGCAAGTCACTTGACCCTGAATGACAAATTATACAGTCCCTGGCCTCACTGAGTTTACATTTTATGGGGACATGAGCAAGTATGATGCAAAGATGAGGGTGAATGGGGAAAAGGGAGTGGTCCAGGCAAAGAGCATTGAGACATTTGAGGAAGGGGGTTAACTTTTACCAGAGGCAGCAGGTGAGTCTACCAGGAGGTAATCCCCCCTGGCTAGGCCTTGAAGGTTGGAATGAACTTCCACCAGTTCAGAAGGGCATGGGAAGGAGGAGTTCTAAGAATAGCGGACACTGGGAATGAAGGCCCAGGGAAGGGATGGGACAGGATAAGAATGAGCGACCAAGAGGCTTCCAGTTTGGCTAGAATGTAGCAGGTATGGAGGGGACAGAAGGGAAGATGGAGAGGTAAAGTTGCTTATCTTGAGTTAGGATAGGGAGTTTGTACTTTAACCTTTCAAAGTAGGGAGCCACTGAAGGTTTTAGAACAGAAGAGAAGCATGATTGCAGCAGAGCCTTAGCAAGCTGAAAGCTGTTTGGGTCCCAGGATGGAATGGAGGCAGGGGCTTTGAAAGGGAAAATGAGCAGGGAGTGAGTTACCACCAAACTTCACTGAGCTGACAAGTATCTTCCTAGCTCCTTCTGTCTCCCTGGCAGCCCACAGGGACCTCCTGGGCCCTCACTCAGGAGATGATGTGGAAGTGCCTGCCGAAAGGAGAGAGGCATCTTCCCTAACCATATCCATGACCACTGTCTCAGGTCAGAATGAGGGGCAGTTTGGAAGAGTAGAGATACCATCAGATGAATGGGTCTAGTCAGACCTTCTCACTGATTCACCATCATCCTCAGGAAATCACCTTTCCTCTCTGAGATTCAGCTTCCTCATCTGTGAAATGAGGATGGTAATCCTGTTACTCCCTACCTCACAAGGCCACTGTGAGAAAAAACACTTTGTAGACCTTAGAGGGCTATAGAAATGAGGAAACCAAGTCTCAGAGAGGTGACTTTGCCCTAGGTCATACTGCTAATGGGGATCAGAGCCAGGAGAACATGGATAAAGCTTCGAGCTCCAAATCTAGCGTTGTGTCCACTGAGCTGTTCCAGCAGGCTACCAATCAGCAGAGATGAGGGTGGGTAGATGGGAGATTGGCCAAGATGGTCTCAAGTCCTGTCCAGTACTGACTGACCTTCTGTGTTCCATGATGGCCGCAGCTCACATTCAGGGGCTTCTTTCATGAAATCCGACGCTGGCCTTCAGGAAGTTTGATAAAACTTGGTTTATTCCTCCCAGACTGATGTGCGCTCACACCAGCCACTTACGCAAAGTAGCCCCAGAGGAAGATGTTGATGGCGAGTAGGAAGATGGCATTGATGTTACAAACTCGCCTCCACAGTGGGGTCTCCTCAATGCTTGTCAGCTTTCTTTCCATTGCAGCCTTCTCAGCAGGACTCAGGACAGGTGTGGGGGTTGGAGAGAGCCCGCAGAACCAGAAATAAAATTTCTGCCAACAGGACTGGGTGGGGGCTGCGGAAGAGAGAGACCAAGGCAAAGAAGAGAGAGTAAGTAAAGCTGGGCAAGTCAGCTGCACCTTGTCTCCTGGCCCCAGGCTCAGCCCTGACCATCGGAATCATGTACACTCGCCTAGAACACAGTCCACAGTTCTTATACATGCCCCTCCACACACCCCGAGACACAAACATATTGGTCCACTAGATGTCCTGAATCCATGATGCTCCATCTCCCTTCTCGGTGCCTTTATACTCACTGGCCCCATGTCTGGAATGGACTCCCTCTTAGAATACCTGGTTTCCTTTGATACCCAGCTCAAGCAGCACCTTCTACATGAAGCCTTGGTTTTGTATAAGGGTCAGCCTAGGCAGCTACTGAGGTCCCCGCCAGTTCTCAGACTCTGTGATTCTTTGATGTGATATCTACCCCCATCACAACTACTAGTGCCCTCCCTAAAATGACCTTATCTTTATTCTGTGTGTTAGTTATATGCATATCTATATATCCATGTCCATATCTATCTCTCCATCTGTCTATCTATCTGTCTGTCTGTCTAATCTATCCATCCACCCATCATCTATCTATCTAATCCATCCATCCATCATCTATCTATCCATCTATCTAATCTATCTATCTATCTATCTATCTATCTATCTATCTATCTATCTATCTATCTATCTATCTATCTATCTATCTATCTATCTAATCATCCATCCATCTATCTAATCTATCCATCCACCCATCATCTATCTAATCCATCCATCCATCCATCATCTCTCTATCTATCCATCCATCTCTCTATCTATCCATCCATCCATCCATCCATCTATCTAATCTATCTATCTATCTATCTATCTATCTATCTATCTATCTATCTATCTATCTATCTATCTATCTATCTATCTATCTATCTAATCATCCATCCATCTATCTAATCTATCTGTCCATCTATCATCTATCTATGCATCTCTCTCTCTATCCATCTGTCATGTTTATCTCCACCATTAGAAGGTAAGCCCCTTGAAGCCAAGGACTGCTCTGCTGTGGTCTTTGTATCCTCGGCACCTAGCATGGTTCCGGGCACAGCAAGATCCCAGTAAGTGCTTACTGATTGCTGGATGAATGGATTCCAGTCATGCATTTTGCCCCACCAAGTCTTGATGATCCAAATGGGATCAGCTGACCCCTCCCTATTCACCTCATTAGCTCCTTTTGCTTGTTGCCCACACTTTGTGCTTTTTTGTGTGTAGTTGACATAATCACAGAAATGAAGGGGGGGACAGATAAGAGAAATAATGAGACATGCAAAACTATGTTTGCAAGTTGTTATCCTTTTATGAAGTATGGAGGAATTTTTTTTCTCATGGTATTAAGAGAACAGCTGGCCATTTGATTGGTCAAAGATTGGCTACACCTTCAGCGGCCTTTCAAAAAGCTGGGTTTGGGGCAGCAAGGTGGCACAGTGGATAGAGCACCAGCCCTGGACTTAGGAGGACCAGGGTTCAAATCTGACCTCAGACACATGATAGTTATTAGTTCTGTGACCCTAAGTGAGTCACTTAACCTTGATTGCCTCACCCAAAAAAAAAAAAAGCTGAGTTTGCCAGCACTGTGGACAATCAAGAGACATGCAAGTCAGGGAGCAGCTCAGGGGGAATATGGCCCCTGAATCTCTTAGAGAAGGAGGAGGGGGGAGGATTTTATCTCCTTCCTCCAATCGTCGGCCATGTATCAGAACTACTTGCCCGGTAAGGGATGCTGCATCCAGGAGAGAGCAGAGAGAGTGACAGACACAAAGAGCTGGGATCAAGAAGCATATTCATAGAAAATGGCATGTGGCAGCAGAGAAGAGAACTGACTAGGGATTCAAGAGAGGACTAGCCCTGGCAGTAGAGAGTAGAGCCACAGAGAGGAACAGGCTCAGGGAGTCCAGCTGAGTGATCTGCTCAGCAGAGACACTGTACTCAGTGTGAGATACCGCAAGAAGAAAAATTGTATTGGGTCCTACAGTAATAGTTACATTGGCCACATGTGTTCCTTATATATATGCTTCACTACCAATATACTCTAAGTCTGTGTCCATTTTTCCCGTTCATGCCATATGTATTTATGGGAGAGTGTGCCCTGAATTTTATGGGGAAGTATTTCATAGAACATGTCTTACTGTTTTGTCTTGGTTATTGCTTTTGCTTTGAGCTCATTGTGTTTCCTGGCTGATGATTAATGGTAAGCTCACTGACAGGGGCTTAGGAATGTAGACCCACAGGGTACTCTCTAAGTAGAGGGAGTATTTATCATCACTCCCTCCACCCAGCCTGCAAACCTGTAACTTGAGGAGATAGACCAGAGGGGGTATTACATATGTATAGAAAGATTAGGGTGGTTTTTAAAAAATTACTATTAGCTCTTTTCTTGGGTTTTGTTTCCTGTGAACTTGCTGTCTCAAGTTCTATTTCTCTTTTTACATTGTATCTACTTGCATGATATCTACACTTTCATGTAGGTATCCAAGCGTTACTTCCCCATGTTACAGGAGAAAACTAAGACTCAAAAATGGAAATGACTTGCCTATGTCCCAGGGCAGTGAAACAGCAGAGCAGAGCTGGAATGCAGGCTTCCTGACTCCAGTTCAATGCAGCAAATGCTTATTAAGCACCTGCTGCATATAAGGAACTGAGCTAGGTTCTAGGGACACAGAAACAAACAGAAAAGGCATTCCTGCCCTCAAGGGGTTTCTATTCTATGGGTGAAACAAAAGCACATAAATAAATACAAAGTGATTGCAAGGGGAAGGGGAACCCTAGCATTTGGGAGGTTGTGGAAGGCTTCTTGCAGAAGCTGGAGCTGAACCTTGAAGGGAGGGAGTGTGAAACATCTCAACCCTCCTAGTACTGAGGGCACCCCAGAGGCCTGGGAGCTGCTTACTTCTCCTGGCGCCATCTTTGCCCAGTGGGGGCTGCCTGCCTCCCCCTGCCCCAGCTCACCGGGGGATTCCTTCTTTTTAAGGTCGCTGTCCTCTGTTTGGCTCTCCTGGGCAGACAAGGCTGGTTCCCTGTCCCTCGGTGGGTGGCAGTGATAGTGCCCTTCTGGGCCGGGTGGGCTACAGTGCCGGGTCCACCAAGTCAGGGGAACGAGCTGGAGGGAGAGAATCCAGGGGTCGTAGTCAGAGGCCACTGGGGAAAAGCCTCCTGGGGGAGGTACTTGAGGCTGGGGCGGGGAGGGAGGAAGTGGTGAGGACAAAGAGCCCTGAGCGCCCACTCGGACTCTTGCCTGGCTCTGACGCCTCTGACACTGACAAGTCCTTAATGAACACCTCTTCATTTGTTCAGTAGCTCATTCAGTCATTCATTCTCAGGCCCCTCCCAGCTCTGCCATTCCCTGTTCTAAGCTCCCACCTACCTCTGACATCTCCTGTTCTCAGCCCCCTCCCAGCTCTGACATCCCCTGTTCTAAGGCCCCTCCCAGCTCTGACATTCTGTCTTCAGGTCCCTACAGCTCTACTCTTCCACAGTTAAAGTTGACAGCCCTAGAGCTGAAGGGGGCCTGTGACATCATCCAGCTTGAGCCTCATTTTACAAAGAAGGAAACTGAGGCCCACGAGGCTGAGTCACTTAGGAATGAACACACCACATGCATTGGGCCCTGGAGCTCTGACATCTGGCCCCACCCTCTTGGGCTGGAACCTGCCTTCTCCTCAGGGATGGGGGGTGTGCAGAGGCTGACAACGATGATGACCAAGGCAGTGAGGCCGCAGAGCAGCAGAGCAAAGTAGAGGTAATGCACGTCCCTCAGCACGGCTGGCCGGGTGTCCCGCTCCCCGCATGAGGGGGCCCCGTAGGAGAACTCCAGGATCATGCGGAGGGCGCCCACCACCAGGCCAAAGATGAGGCCCCAGAAGGCTCCCTGCAGAGAAAGGGCAGGGCCCCCAGGCAGGAGCTAGCCACCAAGGAGCTCAGATGGCTCCCAAAGGGCCAGACCTCCCCACACACTCTGATGGCTGCCTAGAACCCTGCCTTTAGACACTGACAGCTCGAGGCTAAGTCACCCCAGAGGACATCTCTGGCAGCCTCTCTCTCAGCTGAAGGCTTCCCTTTACAGCTGCTCTGACAGGGAGTCAGGCAGCCTATAGCTGAACATCTCCAGTGACAGGGAGCTCAGTACCTCTCAAGCCTGTTGGATAGACCTTATTGTTAGAAAAATCTTCCTCATTTTGGGGGAAATTGAGGCCCGGAGAAAGGAAGGGGCCTGTATTTTCTTTATGAATTGTAGGATTACAGGATCATAGGGTCAGTGCTGTGAGGAACCTCCTCATTTTCCAGCGACCAGAAGGGGAGAGTTGCCCAAGGTCTCACATGTAGTAAGTGGCAAAGGCAGAGTCTGATTCAAGGTGTCTTCCCTGAATCTAGCCCTTTTCAATGAGGCCATTATGATACTGGTGATAAACTATCTACCACGCTAACCCCGACCAGCTCCTATGTTATAGAAGGAGAAATAACAGTTTCCCTCCACTTGCTTCAAGGCTTCCTCCTCCCAGGTCAGGGGTCTTGCAGGACCCGAGCTGGCTTCCTCCCCTCCCCAGCACCAGGCACTCACAGGCTCCGTGACCCGATGGCAGAAGATGGCTAGAACAAAGAGGGCGGCGATGGGGGGTGCCAGGTAGCTGGTGACTGCCTGGATATAGTCAAAGAGCTTCCCGCTGTTGGCGCTCTGTATGACAGGAATCCAGACGACGCTGACCACCACCAAGAACACGATGAACACCCTGTGGGGAGGGGGCCAGAGAAGGCCTCAGGACTAGACGGAGCTATTGGGACCAGGTCACAGGGCGGAGGAGGGCCCAGACCCAGAAACTTCCCCAACCCCAGGGACTAAGTTACAGAGTGGAAGAGCCTCAGCCTGCGAATCTGGAAGTGGGTTCTAGGTCCAGCTCCACTATTAACCTGCCGTATGACCTTGGGTAAGTCTCGTTTACCTACATATAAAATGAGAGATTTAGAGCAGATGATCTCCAAGGTCCCTTCAAACTCTGGCATTCCCTATTCTAAAGCCCCTCCTAGTTCTGACCTTTCCTATTCAAAGGCCCCTCCCGGCTCTGACATCCTCTGTTCTAAGATCTTTCCCACTTTTGACATTCCCTATTCTCAGGCCCCTCCCAGCTCTGACCTTCCCTTCTCAAGTCCCTTCCCTGTTCTAGGCTCGCTCCCAGCTCTGCTATGCTGTGATCCACATTCTACTGGCCTTCTTCCCCAGGTATGACAGTGGGCATCCTCTAATCATGGACCCACTCAGCCAGGCTCACTCAGGAAGGCCAAGCTCCCTGATCCTGGCTTTTCTGCCTCCTCCTTTCTTGTCCCCTGTACTGTTCTTGTGACTGAACACCAGGACAAGGCTGCTTCCTCCCACTTCAAAGATGTTGTCATCCTGATAGGACAGGCCAGGAATGGATCCAGAGAGTCCTGGCACTTGAGACCCTGTTTCCTCCATCTCCCTACCTCCCGTCTCACCCACGTACCTTGATCAAGCTGCCCTTTCCCCCATCCCTGGACACACCAAGCTCATTGGGCTGGTCCTTCCCATCTGGAATTTCCTCCTCCTCCTTCCGGATGACCTAAATCCTACCCAGGGGAAGAAGCCTCAGGGCAAGTCTCAGAGATGCCACAGGATGGGCACTGGCCTGTGGTCATGCCTCCTGGATGCCCTCTTAGAGCCCAGAAATATCAGAGTGGAAGGAACTTTAGGGGGCACCTCATCTATCCCTTCATTGATAGAGGAGGAATCTGAGTAACAGAGAAGGGACGTGACTTGTCCAAGGTCACCCAGGAGTGGCTTTGCAGGGCTGGCACCTAGAGGGGAGAGGCGAGGCCCCAGCCCCAGGATGATGGGAGGGGGGAGTGTGAGAGCCCAGGGAGGCAGCCAGGACCTGCCGACCACCATCAGCTCCTGCTCAGTCGCCTTCCTGCGCAAGCGCTGCCAGATGTCAATGGCAAAGAGGGTGCTACTGCTGTTGAAAATGGAGGTGAGTGAGCTCATGAGGGCCGCCACGATCACGGCAATCATCAGGCCCCGAAGCCCTGTGGGGAGAGAAAAGTACCCTCTGGGATAGCAATCCCACAGGCGCCAGCTGGGGCTGGCTGGGGGCCAAGCAGAGCACAGCAAGCTAGTGATGCATCTGAAGGTCCCTCTGAGATACAGGAGCCCGTGAGGACTGGCTGGGGACTGAGCAGCGATAGGGCCTATGGGCTTCAGTCTAAGGCCTACAGGCGCCATTGAAGACTGGCTGGGGAACGAGCCCCAGTAGGGCCTATGGGCTTCAGTCTAAGGCCTACAGGCGCCATTGAAGACTGGCTGGGGACTGAGCAGCGATAGGGCCTATGGGCTTCAGTCTAAGACCTACAGGCACCAGTTTGGGCTGGCTGGGGGCCAAGCAGAGCATAGGAGCTCCAGGCTTCACCTTCAGTTCTAATGCCTGGGGGAAAAGAAAACCCTAGGGACCTAATCTCCCTGCCTAGACTTGGAAATTAAGAATCACACAGGCCTGGAGTCAGGAGAACCATAGCTAAGACTTGGTTTCTCTTCCACAAATTCCTTTCCTGCTCTGTTCTCTAGGATGAGAAGACTAAGCCCTGCCCTCCTGACCTCACAGGGCTAATAGAAAGACCTAAATGTCCTCATGGGAATGTACAACTTTATGCCCAAGGACTGAGGTCCAGGAAAGGGAAAGAATTTGCCTGAGGTCACATAGTGACCCAGGTCAGTCAGGCAAAAAACATTTGAGAGCCTACTATGTGCCAGGCACTGTGTTAAGGGCTGGGGATGCACAGACAGGCATTGCCCATCCCAGCAGAGGCATAACTAGGGAGAGTCACCTGCGATTTTGTCCCAGGGTAGACAATTTGGAGGGTGCTGTAAATACCTGAGGGAAAAGGGCTTTTTCTCCATAGCGGCAGTGGCAGCAACAGGAGCTCTGTATTCCTCGCCCACACTGCCACCATCCAAGCTTAGCTCTGCCCCTAGAGACAACAGCATCTAACCTGGGAAACAATAGTTTCTTGCCCCTGATGTCCCAGGGTGCAATTTCTCGCCTCTCCCAATCCACCCACCCACCTGCCACTTACCCCAGTTGTAAAGGTTTCTAGATATGGGCTTGCCTCTTGCCTGCCCCTCCTTTTATGCCTGTCCCCCCAGACTCCAAGGCCAGGTGAGGCCTCACCTATAGGCATGAGCTCCATCACCAATTTGGGGTATGCGATGTTAGAACAGCCCACTCGGGCCCCACAGATGGCCTGGCAGATGTCAGGGTCCACACAGCCAACCACATCTGTAAAAGCCAAGGCAGAAGTCAGGACAGAGGGTAGGCTGACCCCACTGTGTCCTGAACAGGGTAGCCATCCACCCAGAGGATGGTGGAGGTGGATCAGGGCCAGGCCTGTGCTGGGAGGGAGCAGAGAGGGGCCTGTGCCTTGGGGCATAGGGAAACCCCCTGCCTCAAAGTCCCTCCTCTCCAGGTTATCTACAGAGCCTGGCATCCCACACCTAGAAACCTAAAGCATTGGGTTAAGGCATTGGCCCTTTGGGAAAATAGAATACTGCAGAGAAAGTCATTTATTAAGCCCTTTTCAGTCATTAACTGTTTTGGGTCAGAACAGTCAGAACCAGGAGGGGCATTAGAACAGGGAATGTCAGGACTGGGAGGGGCCTGAGAACAGGGGATGTCAGGGCTGGGAGGGAGCTTAGAACAGGGAATGTCAGAGCTGGGAGCAGCCTTGAAACAGGGAATGTCAGCACTGAGTGGGAGGAATCTTAGAACACAGAACATCAGCAGGAGGAGGGAACTCAGAACATAGAACTTCAGAAGGAGGAGGAACCTTAGAACACAGAACACATAATGTCCTGGGGCATGTCGGACCTGAGAGGGCCTTTAGAAACCACTTAGTTCTACAGCTGAGAAACCTGAGAGTTGAGGCCCAGAGCATGTACATGACATGGACCCTCTCTTAGTAGGCTGGGCATATCCCAGCCCCACCAGGACCCTTCCCCTGGAGAATCCCTGCCCATCCTCCCAATGTCTCCCCTCTGAGGGTCTTCCCATGATTCCACTGGACAGCTGCTAACCTTCCTCTAGCCCTGGGTTGTTCTGGTCCCATGGTCTTCTTTGCCTCTTAGCCCCTCCCCCCCAGACACTAAATTAAGCTCCAGGAATTCAGGGACAGGGTCTTATCCAAACTTTGCATCTCCCCCACAGCCCAGAGAAGGAATCTGCACACAGAAGGGGCTTAATCAATGCTGGCTAAATTGGACTGTGACTAGAATCTGAGTGTCCAGCCTTCCTGCACAGGGCTCTCTCCACTCCACCAAGGGGGGCAGCCAGCGCTGATGGGGTGGGTCTAGGACTAAGTGGGAGAAGCCTAGAACCCGAGACCCCACCCAGAAAAGGCAGGCACTGGGGCATCTGGGCTGCAGCATCAGGGCCATTGGCAAGGACAGATTTCAGCTTGATGTCAGCTTGATGTCAGAAAAAAGCTGCGTACCCATGAGAGCTGTCCTAAATGGAGCAGGCTACTGAGAGGTAGTGAGCTCCCCATGCTCAGAGGTCTTTAATCTGAGGCAGGATGGTCTCTTGTATGGGAGGATGTAAAAGGGATTCTTGTTCAGCTGTGGGGGAGGGAACCACATCCCTGGAATGGCACTGCCAGCTCCGAGCCCCTATTCCTCCTTGCCCTTGGAGACCAGAAAGGACGTCCCATACCTGGGTAAAGAGCCCGGCTGATCATCCCAGGCATGACAATGAAGAACATGGGCAGGATTTTCAAGTAGCCCCCGAACACAGAGCCCCCCTTGGCATGGGATAAGTTCTTGGCTGACAGGGATCTCTGCACAATTACCTGTGAGGGGGGAGACGGGGAACAGAGGTCACGGGGGTTCTAGGATTGGGTGGCCTTGCGATGGACACCGGGGCTAGGCAGGCCCGTGGCACAGACTGCAGGCAGCACCAGGCAGCTCACACTGGAGCCCTGGCCTGGAGCCGCCTCAGCCTTCTCTTGGGCACAGACTCAGCCCTGACTTGATGCCCCCCCCGACCTCATCTTGCTTGACTCTTAAAACAGCCCTGTGAAGGCGCAGGGCAGGCACAAATATCCTCATTGGCCAGATGAGGAAACTGAGGCTCAGCCTCGAGGTCACTTACTTGAAGTCACAGAATGAGCTGGGGGAAAGCGGGACTGTTGACTCCAAGCACATCTGGTGGGGGCGCGGGGGGGGGCGGACTCTGGTTTAGGGAGCTCCCAGTGAGGAAACTTCTTCCACCGGGGTGGATGGACAGTTGCCCAGAGAGGTTGAAGGGCTTGCCGGAGGTCACACAGCCAGTGAGGGTTAGAGGCCAGACTTGAACCCAGGTTGTGTTACGTGGCCTACATCGCTGCCTGCCTGGCAGGCACTAGGCCCTTGGTTGAGCTGAAGTCCTTCTAAACCAGACTGCCTTCTGCCAGGTGGTCATGACCATGGGCTCCCCTGTGGGGCCTGCTTGTGCCTCAGCCCCTTTTCCAGGAGCAATGGGCTTGGCTGGGAACCCTGCCAGGGAGTGTGATCGCTGAGGGCTATGGTACCTGGTCTGTGCACCAGCACCAAGTAGCCAGCACTGTAAGCCCAAAGATGAGGCCAGGCCATGGGATGTCCCCGGTGACAGGGTCCCGGAGAAGGTGGAAGGCGTCGGACCGAGGCAGGTGGCAGGTGGTGTTGGGCACAGTCACATTGGCGATGGCAGTGTTGTACTTCTCCTGCAGGCCTGGGTACCAGCCCACTTCCTTAAACCCTGAAATCCAGAGCATCTGCTCATGGGTGACAGGGCACCGTGGAATGGAGTGCCTCCCCATGTCCCCTTGCAGGGCGTGTGGGGTGGGAGAGACCATGTCCTGGGCTCTCTGTGGGAATACTGAGGAAGGAGGGGGTATGGCCCTTGTCCTCAGGGAGTGGTTAGGCCCATCCCCCACCCCAGCACCCACAAGGCCTTACCTAAGAACATGAGGACCAGTGCTCCCCCCACCATGATGACAGTCTGAAGAGCATCTGTGTAGATCACAGCAGTCAGGCCTCCTAGGATCAGAGGAAGTCAGGGATCAGTCCCACAACCAAGCAGGCTGTCCCAGCTCCTTGGTGTCCAGGAGAGTGCTTGACTTGACTGTTCCACGCCCCCCTTCTCTGTTTCTCCTTCTCCACCTGATTTTATATCTCATTCTTCATTTCTGTCTCTCTCTGTCCCTTCTATTTCTCTATCTTTGATTCTATCTCTGATTCTGTATCTATCCACTTGACTCTTTCCTGTTTCATGCTCTGTCTCTCTGTCTTTGTCTATTTCCTCTTCTCTCCATTCTCTCTACCCCCCTTCTCTGTTTCTCTCTCCCTCTCTCTCTCTCTCTCTCTCTCTCTCCTCTCTCTCTCTCTCTCTCCTCTCTCTCTCTCTCTCTCCCTCCCTCTCTCTCTCTTCTCTGTCTCTGTCTCTCCCTCCCTCTCTCTCTCTTCTCTGTCTCTGTCTCTGTCTCTGTCTGTCTGTCTGTCTGTCTGTCTCTCTTCTCTCTCTCTCTCTCTCTCTCTCTCTCTCTCTCTCCCCCCCTCCTTCTCTCCCTCTCTGTCTCTCTTCTCTCTCTCCCTCCCTCTCTTTCTCTCCTCTGCCTCTCTTCTCTGTCTCTTCTCTGTCTCTCTTCTCTATCTCTGTCTCTCTCTTTCTCCTCTCCCTCTCTCTGTCTCTCTCACTCTCTTCTCTCTCTCTCTCTCTCTCTCTCTCTCTCTCTCTCTCTCTCTCTCTCTCTCTCTCTCTCTCTCTCTCTCTCTCCCCCTCCCTGCCTCTCTCTCTGTCTCTGTTTCTCTCTGTGTGTCTGTCTCTGTCTCTCCACACCTCCTTCTTCCCCTGTTCCCCCCTTGCTTTCTTCTCCCCCCTCCTCCTCTTGGCCCATCCGCATTGACTCCTGGCTCCCAGGGACGTTACCAGCGATGGTATAGATGGCTGTCACAACCAGGAGGATGACTGTGGACAGATAGAGATTCCAGCCCAAGGACACCTGGATGAACAGGGCTCCAGAGAAGATGTCAGTCTGCAATGAGATCAGATGGAGAGAACCATCCTGGGGGAGGGGAGGCTCCCAGGCCAGGCCCCCATCCCAGCTCAGGCATCCCAGGCTCTGGCCTTCACTCCCCTCAGAGGGGCCTTGGCTTGGTGGAAAGTGAGTTGAGAAAGGAGGCAGAGGGAAGGAGGGAACAGTCCCTGGGCTCCAGTTCTGGACCTGTCACTGGCTTGCCACATGTCAGTACATAAATCCCTTCTCTGAGCCTCAGTTTCCTCATCTTTAAAGCAGGGGTCTTAATCCTTCCCCTGCCTCCCTCAGGAATGAAGAAGACAAAATGAGGTAAATTATGGAAAGGCCAGTGTATGATTACCCCCCCCAAGTGCCTAGCAGTGTGTGCCTTGGAGAAATAGAACCCCAGGGCAGACTCATGAGCAGGAACATGCACCCACTGAAATTTTGGTGAAGATGTACAGGATGAGGGACAGGACAGACATGTACACTTGGATCCTCTGGCCCCCAAATCGCTTCTTCAGGTACTCAGGCATCGTGACGACGCCCGCTGCGATGTAGACGGGGATGAAGACCCAGCCAAGTGCCACGAGCAGCCAGGTCGCCTGGGCAAAGGCAAAGGGGAGGAAGGAATGAAGCCAGAGCTCTGTCTTGCCAGATCCTAGCCATAGTGGAATAGGTGGCTGCCTATACAGGAGGGATCAAGGTCCCTTGGTCCAGAGGTTAGGAGCCCTAGGTGTAGTGCCTTGATTCTGCCACCAACGTTCTGGGTGATCTTAGGGAAGTCACTCCCTTACTTTGTGCCTCAGTTTCTCCATTGGTAAAATGGGGGGGGCAGCTGACAGTTTCTAAATTTCCTCACAGTTCTGACATTCATGGAACCAGGTTCCAAGATCTTATGTTCTAAGTGTATCTAGAGTTTTGAGAGAACTGATTATTTCTCTTTTTTATTAATAACCAATTACTACTGGGAAGAGCCAGGATTTTTTTCCTTTCTATTTTCTCATTCTTTACTAGATCTCAAATCAGCCCCTGAAAAATAAGACTGATAATGAGATTGCATTTAACGTTCTCCTCAATCTTGTTCAGATCCCACCCAAGTGGGGAAGCCCATTGTGTTCTGCTCAGGCTTGGCGGGGATGGTGGGGGTAGTGGGGGTGGTGGTAGTAGATCCTTTGTCTAGATTGCCCAAGTAAGAGTGACATAATCAAGTAATGTCCCCCAACCTCTCATTAGAATAGAAACACTTCTCAGCATAATGTACATTCTTCACATTGTTAACCAACCAGAATTGATTGCTGTCTGTTGGGAACACCCACTCTTCCAAGGGCATATAAGCATCAAGAGGCCACCATGATCCACCTTTGATTCACAAGAGACAGCCAAATGACCATCCTTTTATTAATTATTCACTAGCCATAATTAATGAAGTGATTAATTACCCAGGAATTCTCTCGAGCTTTTCATACATCACAATTTGCAGTAAGTTAGAGAGAGGAAACCAAGCCCAGGTAAGGGTTTCTTATCTCATTGAAATCAACAGTGGCTATGCTCATGTTCTGTGGAGATTGGGAGCTGCCAGCCTGGGGTAGGGATTGCTCCCATGGGCTACTCACATTCCATTCGAAGCCACCCACAGCCAGGCCCCCGGCTGCCCCTGTCCCAGCCAAGCCAATGAATAAGCCACTGCCCACATTGCTGGACATCAGAGAGGCACCAATCTGAAAGGAAGAGGAGAGAGATCAGGGATAGGGGCTGAAGCCTGGGATTCTGGGTAACTAGATTTGGGAGGTGGGCTCCCAAATGGATGGAGATGAGGGGTCATAGTGTTAATCTGCTGGACAGGGGGTCAGAAGAGTTAGAATCTCTAGACAGAGATAGAGAGACAGAGACAGACAGAGATGAAGGGAGATAGGAAGTCAGAAAGACAGAGACAAGGAAAGAGGACAGAGAGAGAAATACAGAGACTGCACACAGATGTTTTGAGGATTATGAAGTTCTGGGCAAGGAACTGAAGTCCTTGGGGGCATAGATGGTATTTTCACAGTTCTTGCTCATTGACAGCAGGGATGTCAAAAGAAAAAAAGAAGATTTTGGAAGTTGAGAAGATAGTGTCTGAGGTCTCCATTAATTTTCACAACTGGAAGTAATCTCTCCCCTCTCTGAACTCTGAGACCACTTTGTTTATACCTTCATCATAGCACTACTATTCTGTCTTGTATTAGAGATTATGTCTATTTAATCTCCTTTACCAGACTACAAGCACCTTGAGGGTGGGGACTATTTCTTATTCATCTTCATATCCCTCAGAGTCTAGTCACAATTAGGGGGCACTGAGTAAATTTTTTTTAAATGGCATATGATGTATGAAATGGGATTTGTATTTTTGGACCCAAACTTGATAAGAGCAGTGTGCCCTTAGCAAGGGATGGAGTGCATCCAACGAGAGCCAGTGAAAACATTTTTGCCTGGAGTTTTATCAATCGAATCAAGAAGGTATAAACTAAAAAAAGAAAAGATGGAGAATATTACCTGAATAGATCTGGCAAACCTGATTATCTATCTATCTATCTATCTATCTATCTATCTATCTATCTATCTATCTATCTGCCTGTCTGTCTGTCTGTCTGTCTGTCTGTCTGTCTGTCTGTCTGTCTGTCTGTCTATCTATCTATCTATCTATCTATCTATCTATCTATCTATCTATCTACCTGTCTGTCTGTCTGTCTGTCTGTCTGTCTATCTATCTATCTATCTATCTATCTATCTATCTATCTATCTATCTATCTATCCATCCTTATTTCTATCTATATATTCATCTATTTATATCTTCTACCTACCTACCTACCTACCTATCCCATCTCTAACTATGCATGTGTATATCTATCTATTCTATCTATCCTTTCCATTTATTTATCTATCTATCTATCCATCTATCTATCTATCCATCTATTAGGTCCCTAGCTATTTATCTATTCTATCCATTTATCCTTCTATCTCTACTTTCCACCCCTCTATCCATCCATCCATCAGTCTACCTACCTGCCTATCTGTTCATCTCTAACTAGATACATACATATGCATGCATGTATGTATGTATTGTTTCCATCCATCCATCTATATATCTGTGTATGTATCGATCTTTCTATGAACACGAAAAAATACAGTAGGAATAGAAGAACAGTGCTTCGTGAGAGACAATATCCAAACAGAGCTAACAGTTATTCTTAGTATTAATAGGCAGCGTTTCCATAGCTCCTTGAGGTTAGTGAGGTGCTTTACACATTTTGTCACATTTGATGGTGAGACAACAATCAGACCCACAATGTTAGGTGCCCAGTGCTTAGACTCTGGCTGTTGAGCAAGGTGGATGATAAATACTAGTACAAGGAGGCAGCGTTGACCTCCCAGGGCATCCCTGTGATGTGCAGGGATGCGGTCCATCACTGGAAAATGGTTCTGGGAAGGTTTGCCTTCTTTAAAAGGGACAGGGGAAGTAACCAGCATAGACCAGTGAGCTAGACTTTGATTCCTGTTAATGAGCTTCTTATGATAGGAATGGCTTGTGAGCACAGAGGAAAGGGGAAATGATAGGTCAACAGTAGGCTGATACCGCAGGAAAGGTCTTTTGTTTGGAGTCAGAAGTCCAGGAGTCAGTGCCTGGCACAGAGTGGATACTTAATAAAATCTTATTAGTTGATTAAACAACCTGGATTTAAATGCTACCTCGAATACTTATTAGCTACATCAGTCAGTCAATAAGCATTTATTAAGCACCTACTACGTGCCTGGCACTGTGTGAAAACAATCCAAAACAAAATACAAAAAAAGGAAAAAAAAACAGAAGAAAGACAGATAGCCCTGCCCTCAAGGAGCACACAGTCTAAAGGGGGAATCACTGAACTAACAACCATGCACAAATAAGGTATAGACAGGATGCCCTGGAGAGAAGGCATCAGCATTAAGGGGATTAGAAAAGGCTTCTTGTGGAAATGACCATAAGCAGGTCATGCTCTGCCTCACTGAATTCCCATTTCTTTATTTGTAAAATGGCAGTGTGAGACTGAATGATCTCTCAGGGACCTTCCAGGTCCAAGCCCTTGGAGCTCATGACTCTATGGATGCTAACAGTGGCACATCTCAGGTTCAAGAAGGCCTTTGGCTCCTTGTGAAGAAGATGGACATGTGGGACTAGCCCTAGGGCCGTTAGCTGGGCTGACACCTGGATGAAAGGGGATTGTGGCGAATGGCTCTATGCCAACTTGGAAGGGCATCTAATTAATTAGATGAAATTCAATAGGATAAACAAAGTCTTTGCACTTGGGTACAAAACAGCTTTGCAAGTATAAGGTGGGGAAGGTGTGGATAGGCGATAGTTGGTTTGTAAAAAATCTGAGGTTGTTAGTGGACCACAAGCTCAATATGAGTCAGCAGTGGGATGGAGCTGCCCAAAAAACTAATTCTATCTCGGGCTGCATTCAGAGAAGCAGAGCTTCTAGGAATAGGGATGTGGTCATTCCACTCCCCTTTGGCCTGGTCAGACCACACGTGGAGCACCGTGTAAGTTGTGGGTGCTATCTGGGGTAGATGGACACTTCCAGAGGAGGGTGAGCAGGGGATATTTAGCTTGTGCCCTTGTATGTGCCAGTAGGAAAAGTCTTCTCTTAGGACTTCCCGTGTCAGCTGTCTGCTTATTGGGATATTCGTTCAACAGACGGTGAGCCCCTGGCACGTGTACTTGGCTTTGTATGGGAGACTCCTTCCCTGGGGGACCTCAGGAGACTGGACACAGAGACGCCCTAAGCTTAAGCCACACATGGAGACTACAGTCTCCCTCTAAGCCAGCCCAGAGAGATGGGAGAAGGGAGCCCTGGAGAGGTCACACCCACTGGGGCAGGATCAGCATCTACATCCAGCTGGTCCGATACTGCCCGCCAGGGACTTACCGGCCACCAAGTCATGGACCTCCCAGCCAAGAAATAGCCACCAACAGTGCTTCTGCTGGCTTGCAGGGAGGACTGGAAAGGAAGGAGCCAGAGATGAGCCAATCAGAGCCAAAGCCTGCCTTTCCCTCTCTGAGCTCCCAAGGCAGGCCACACACTCAGCAGGACCACACCTGCCTTCTCCCTGTGTGCAGCGACCTCCCTCCTCGGCTCTTCCCCTGTATCCTGACCTCTCCTCCCCACCACTCATCCCGGGAGCTCCTTCCCTCTTCTCTCTTTCAAAACCTGGTTTAAGATTTTAATTTGGGGGGCAGCTAGGTGGCGCAGATGCTCACTATCTGTGTGACCCTGGACAAGTCACTTAACCCCATTGCCTCAACAACAACAAAAAAGATTTTAATTTTCCCATTTCTGTCTCAAATGAATTGTTCCTTTTGTATCAAAGTGGAGATTGTGTATCCTTTCTCTTCCTCCCCCTTTTCCTCCTGGGCTCCTCTCCCTCTCCCCGCAGTGTAGGGGGAGAAGGGAGCTCAGTAAACATCTTCTGATTGATTGACTCCCTCTGTAACCTCCAGCAAGTCCCTTCCCCTCTCTAGGCCTCAGTTTCCTTCTCTGGAAAAGTGGGCCTGGATGATCTCTAAGGCTTCTCCCAACTTTGACCTTCTATGTGTCATCCCAAGACAGAGACTGCTTCTAGCCTGATTCTATCATTCCCCACTTCCAAATCCCCCCCAGACTGGACTCAGTCCTGTGAATCCACTGGGCAGGTCTCCAGCTGTGGAAGGATGGAGATGATCAGTGGCCCTGTGCCAACCCCCAACCCCCCTTGCCCCAGATATGCCTCATCCCTCTTCCTCCCCACCCCTGGCCCCCAGGGGCCCAGCCTCACCCAGATCCCCAATGCCAGCACGAAGACAAAGTAGAAGACGACAACCAGGATGTCATAGATGTTGAGCATGGCTCTGGCCTCCTGGGGAGGCTCTGCTGGGGCCTCTTGAGCTCCGTACTCCATCTCCCACAGTGCCCGTGGGGCTCAGGGCCAAAGTGGACTTTGAGGTGCACCCAAGTCAGCAGCCTTCATTCCACCCCTGTAATCATTAATCAGCCCTGGCTGGGAGGGAGGACGCTCAGGGTGGGGCTGAGGGTTGTGGATCCAAGCTCCCTGCCAGCCAGGGTCCTCCCTCCTCAGCCCTGTAGGCAGCCCAAGGAGGAAGAGAGAGAGGAAGGAAGGAAGGAAGGAGGGAAGGAGGGAAGGAAGGAGGGAAGGAAGGAGGGAAGGAAGGAGGGAAGGAAGGAGGGAAGGAAGGAGGGAAGGAAGAAGGGAAGGAAGGAGGGAAGAAAGGAGGGAAGGAAGGAGGGAAGGAAGGAAGGAAGGAAGGAAGGAAGGAAGGAAGGAAGGAAGGAAGGAAGGAAGGAAGGAAAGAAGGAAGGAAAGAAGGAGGGAATGAAGAAAAGAGAGGGTGGAGGAGAGAAGGAGAGAGAAGTAGAGGAGAGAGGAGGAGGGAAGGAAGAGGCAGGAGAGAGGGAGAGAAGAGCAAGAGAAGGGAAAGAGGAGTAGAAGAAAGAAGAGGGAGAAAGGGGGAGGAGGAGAAGGTGAAAAGGAAAGGAAGCAGAGAAAGAAAGAGGAGAGAAAGAACAAGGGAGAGAAGGAGAAAGAGAGCAGAATAAAGAAGAGGAGAGAAGAGCAGGAAGAGAAAAGAGCAGGAGGAGAAGGGGAGAAGAAGAGGAGGAAGAGAAAAGGGGATGAAGAGAAGGAGAGGAGGAAGAAAAGATGAAAAAGAGGGAGGAGGAGAGAAGTATCACAAAATAAGAAAGGCAGATTAGTGGAAGCCGGAAAGGGCTTTGTTCAAGGCTATTGTTTACTGGGAAAAGCAAACAGGAATCTGTGGAATACTGATGAGGCACAGAGGTGGAGGTCTATGGGTATGGAATATGGCATAAATTGTCATGCACAGCTAATGTGTTGATTGGTTTTGCAGATTTTTTTTTGTCTTTGTTTCAAAGATTTATTGGTTGTGAGGAAAGGGCAACATTTTATTTAAATTAAGAAAAAGCTCTGAGTGGCCCACAGGCATTGGAAACAAGGTGGAATGATGCTAATCCAGAGCTAATGTTTAGGATAATGCCCCTTAATCCACACATCCCTTTATTAAGCACCTACTGTGTGCCCAGCCCTGTGCTGAGGCTTTCCAGAAGCCCTGGGGTGGAAGGAATGAAGGATGAACAACAGGGTAGAAGGCACATTTCCACTGAGATCCTGGGCTCTTGTCATCTTACTGAAAGCTCAGGGACCTGGTTCAGTGAGCTAAGGACCTGTGTTCTGGATCCTGGCTCTGCTTCTTGTGGCCAATGTGACCTTGGGAGAATTCCTTCCCTATCTGGGCCTTGGTTTCCTCCTGTCTAAAATGAAGGGACTGGATTATATGAGGCCTAAGGTCCCTTCCCAATTCCAAAGCATATAATTTGGGACCAACGATTAGTTACTGGTCCTGTGACTTCCATTTACTCTAAGTCTACTTTCAATTTCTGGGTCTCAGTTTCCCTTTCTGTAAAATGGCAACATTGATCCTTCCCCCAGGCTCTTGTAAGATCAAGATGAGATGGATGATGAATGAGAAGGTATTTTAGAAGCCTGTATGAATCTGAGAGTAGAGGAGTTGGTGTATGAACACCCGCATACCCAAGCTCAGCCAGGGAAACTCCAGCAGAAAAGCCAGATAATGAGGTGTTAAGTGTAAAGAGGAAACCTCCCTTCCCCCACACCCTTAAGAAGTGTGAGTGAGGGTGGATGACAAGCTATGCTTTTACGAAGTGTTTATGAAAATTCTTTGATGGAATAGGAGACTGGGCACTACCTAGATGGCCCTTAAAAAAAAAAAAAGCTATGTTCTCTAGCTCTGAAGTTGATTCAGACAGGAGACAGCAGTGGCAAAGAAATCAGTCCCCTGAGATTTTTACCTCCTGCGGGTGGAGAGATTTTTCTCCCTTATCTCCCCACCCCCTGAAGTATTTGGCCATGGTGCTTCCTTCCCATGTCTAGCAGGAGACAACACGTCCATCAGGGAGCGATGACACACGCCCTCCAGACAAACTGAAACCCAGAGAGTCTGAGGCAGTAGCTGGAGCCAGGAAGCAGCTTCAAGGAAGGGGACTTCTGGCAGCAGAGAAGAGAGTGACTCAAGGTGGAATGAGCCCTGGCAATCTGGCTGTGGAAAGGAACAGATCCTGGGAGCCCCTATGACACATGTGCCTGCCTAGCTAAGGAAAAGCAGCCTGAGGACTCCCCAAAGGGTGAATGGGAACTCATGTGGGACTCAGGGGCATTGTCTTACAAAGCCAAGCAGGGGCAGAGAGAAAGAAGTAAGTCCAAGGTCAGACTGGGAGGATGGACAATGACAGAAACAAGAACAGAGACTGGCTATGCATGAGTGGGTGGGAGAGGGCAGGGGAAAGTTGGAAGCAGGAAGGCTGACAGTTAACAGACTGACTACATCATTCCCCTCTTCCCTCTACCTAGAATCACTACCCTGCTCCCCTCCCTCCATACCCCCTTATCATCTGCTCCCTCAGCCTAGGCGATACCTGTGGAAATCCTGCCTGAACTTCAAGGCCTGTTTCAGGTGCCTCCTCCTTCAAAAGGCCTTCCCCAAATATAGGGAAGTCAGAGACCATCCAGTCCAGCCCCAACCTGCCTCTCTCCATTTTACAGAAGTGGAAACTGAGGCTGAGAGGGGAAGAGATTTGCCCAGGGTCACACAGTAAATCTCCAATTCAGGATTCAAACCTTGGTCTTCCTGACTCCAAGGGCACTGATTTAACCAGATAAGGAAGAAGTGGCTTGTAAAGTGGCCCCCTGCCTCAGGATCCTGCAGCTGACTTTGCAACAGTTTTCTGGCATCTTCCCCAGGACCACAGCTGTCTCTGGGGAGCTAGAAAGAGGTGGCTGGGGGCATTCTTTTGCCACTCTTTGCCAAGATATCTTCTCAGCAGGGGTGGGAGGGGGAAGTGCTTTATAATCTGCAAAGTGGAATGGGGGGGGAGTGCAGGGAGCCAGTGTTTATTTCTGCCCTCCCCCCCCGCACCCCATCCCCTGCGTAGGGTCAAAGCTTAGGAAGTCTTGGTTCATTGAGTAACTGTAAGAGAGCAGGACCTTAAGAGAGGGCCCCCTGGGCTTCTTCTCCCTGCCCTGTCCCACAGCGAACAACTGGAAAGGGAGGAAGAAGAGACAGAGGGAGAGAAGGAGACAGGACCGCAGAGAGAAAGAGAGAGATGGAGGATTAGAGAGGATGATAGAATTGGGCACAGAGACAGAGTGAATGAGCAAGAGCGATGGAGGAAGGAAGAGGGAAAGACTGATAAAAGTGGAGACAAGGAGTGAGACAGAGACAGAGAAAGAAAGAAAGACTGCAATGGAAGGGAGAAATGGAAACAGTCTTGACATCCTGGAAAAAACCCCCTCTCCCTACCGAGGGGGCACTCTCCTACCTGCGGGGCTCCGGATCAGGGTTCTCCTTTCTCGCCCAACAGGAACTTTGAATTGGCTGCAGCAAGGCTGAGCTTGGGGAATGATGGATAGGCCATTCTGGGCTGGGCTCTGGAAGTGTCTCAGGGAAGAGGGAGGCCCATTCTGGTCTAACCAGTTCCCTTCTGCCAACCTAAGGCCTTGCTTGGGAGGGCCGAAGGGACATTTTGTGTCACTGAAGCTTCAGGTTGTCATCTCAGAGAAAGTTTGGGCCACCGAACTGTCCTCCTACACTCTCCTGGAATGTGTCAATGCGAGGCTGCCGCATTGGGAGGGCTGCCTATGCAAGGGACCTGGGAAACAGGTTTCCCCGGCTTCCTGGGGGTAGATTGGGCCAAGAATGAAGGCAGGGGAGGAAGGGCCTCACCTCCTCCTCTAGGACTGACACTCACACACATACACACAACATAGATAAACAGACACACACACACACACACACACACACATCCAGATTATATGCCATGTGTGCTGATCTACTAGGCTGACTTGTTCCTGCTTTCAGGCGACATTTCTCTGAGCTCCCTCCACTAATCTCCTGCTCAAACACCTTCCATCCGTTCCCCTGCCCGAGGACCCTTTGGCCTCAGCTGTCCAAGGCCTTGAGAGGACTCCGCCCTGAGGTCAGACCCCTAGTCTTCTTGATCTCCTCTGGCAGTAATTAACGCACTCTCACTTGGTTATATCCTCCCCATCCCTGTGATCCTGAACCTCCCCTTAGCCCCATCTTTATACAAACCCTGTTCTTCATTCCCCACCACTCTCTCCCTTACTGAATCCCTTTCATCCATCGCCTCAATGTCTCACTCTGTAGCTACCCGGTCCGTAGTGCCCTCTGGAATGCCTACTTCACTGGCAACAAACTTGCTTTCATCCTAAATCTTTTCCTTTCTGCTCCTTCCACATCTAGTTCTCACGAAGACTTGGTTTCCTCCTGACGACACAGCCTCCCTGGCTGTCCTTTCTCACACTGGGTGCTTTATCAATCACTCCCTTCAGCTCACTGGTCAAGTTGGGATACTCCCCATTGCACTTCCAGGGTAACCTCTCCCAGCACCACTCAGTCACCTCTCCTCCTTTGAGGCTCACTCAGTCCATATTGACCACCCAATCACTATGGACCCCCAGGACATTGCCTTTCTTTCCTCAATGAGTTCAGTGCCTGGCTCACAGCCTCTCTCCTCCCCAGCTCCTGCCCTCATCCTACAAGACTTCAACCTATGTATTGGTGCTCCCTCAAACATCATAATCTCAGTTCTTCACCTTACTCATTCCCTATGACCTTCTCTTCCACCCCACCTTAGAGAGGGCCATCCCCTTGATCTTGCTATCAGTAGCCCCAAGTTGTGTTAGCCTTGGGAAGGAGGGGGATTTTCAATCATGGACTCTGGGTCTGGGAGGGACCGCATTCACTGGGAAGTCAAAGGGTTGTCCAAGTGGCATCTCCAAGTACCCATCCTTCGAAGGGAAATGCCTGCGGGTTCCTTGGGCATTCTTAGCATCGGTCCCTGGTGCTGTGCATTTTCTACATCTGTGGATGGGACAGTGAGTAGGTCTTGTCTCTTGCCTTTCTCTTGGGTGAAATAAAGCTGTCCTCTTCTGATATGCTTCCTTCAATGATTGTGCTGGAACCGGTGACTCCTTTTACCCACATTTGGGGAAATGTAGACATGAGTTCAACCTATGTGATATTTGGCGGCATTTCCGAGAGTAAACTGTAGGTTGGAATAATGACACAAAAGAGAACATGATCCCTTTGGGGAGGCCCCCAGGATCAGACCTGGTTGCTGTGAGCTCAGAGTGTCAGAAATGGGCACCGGGCTTCGGGTTCCATAGACCAGAATGGTTCATGGTGGTGGCGTAAGGAAGGGTGATTCAATAGAAGGAACCCTGCACTTGGAGTCGACAGACCTGAATCCTAGTGCTGTCTCTGCTGTTAACCTGATTGGTGACCTTGGACATGCTTCATCACCTCAGTTGCCTCATCTGTGAAATGGGATTAACCAGTTTTGTCCTACTTACCTTCTGGGATTTAGAATCCCTGACTTCCATGCCACCTTCTCCAGGAAGCCTTTCCTGATAGTCACTCCCATGCTCAGATATTCATGTCTTCCCCTCTCTGATTGCTTTCCACTGACACAGTTTATGTCTTGTACCTAGCTAGTCATTTACATGTTGTCTCCCCCCCCCAATAGAATGCAAGCATCTTGAAGGCAGGGAGCATGATTTTGGCCTTTCTTTGTATCCCCAGATCTTAGTACAGTGCCCAGCACATAGGACAGGCTTACCCAGTCCTTGTTAATTGGTTGGTTTGATTTAAGAATTAGAAATATTTATGTCTAGGAGACACCTCAGTGATCATTTAGCCCAGCCCCCTCATTTTAAAAAAAGAGGAAACTGAGGCCCACAGAGGACATGAGACTTGGCCAAGGTCATACATTAAGTCAGTTGCTAAGCTGAGACTAGAACCCAGGTCTCTTGCCTCCCAGGCCAGGATTTTTGGCTCTCTCCCTCTGTCTCTTGACTTTGCAGTGGCTCTGTCTGGGATGTCATCCCTTTGAAATCTCTGAGAAGGAGGTGGTTGACAGCACCCTTGAACTCTGGGATTGATGTGTCTGTGGATTGACAGGTGAGAGAAGCCAGTGTTTGATGGAGTGACCTTTGGAGCAGCTGTGGTGAGAGTCCGGAGCTGTGGCTTCTGAGATAAGGCCTCAGAAGTGATCTGCTGCAGAGATGGGGCCAGACGCACCAGGGAAGAGCTCCCCAGTGTACCATTTCTCAGCCAAAGCCAGGGGAAGGGAGAGGCTTTGAGCCTGGGGCTCATGGACTACACTGGACCCGGGAGCACAGACCTGGATCTGAGCCCCTTGCTCGGCACCTTGCTTCCCAGCTCCTACCCTCAGCTTTTCCATCTGCAAATTGGGGGAGTGATATTTGTGCTGCCTACATCACAGAGTGATTATGAGGGAAGAACAAAAAATGATGGGGGTGGTGCCCTTGATGGTAATGGGGAGAGGAAAGGGGTTTGGGAAGATAATATGGAATGTGAATAGGGAGTGAGAGGAGAGAGAGAGAGAGAGAGAGAGAGAGAGAGAGAGAGAGAGAGAGAGAGAGAGAGAGAAGAGAAACAGAGAGAGAGGAGGAGGAAGAAGGAGAAAGAGAGAGAGAGGGAGGGAAGTGAAGGAAAGACAGACAAAGAAGGACACAGAGACGGATAGAGAGAGATGGGGAAAAAATAGAGAGAAGGAGGGAAGGAGAGAGAAAAAGAGATGGGGAGGGGAGAGACAGAGAGAGACTGAGGGACTCAGGAAAGGCTCTAGAGGCTAAGTAACTGTGGGACAATGAGAGCATAGGCCTGTGAGACTTGTTGCCAAGCGAGCAGATTTTATCACTGAGGTGCTCAGGATTGTGGGAAGATGGCCATCGGTGTGGGCTGGAGTGATCTGGGAAGACCTCCTGGAGGAGGAGCTGACCCTCGGCCTCGGCTTTGCTCTCCTGGCCAGATTTCAAAGGGCCCAGTTCTTCCTTGGAGCGGATCCAGAGGACCTTTGTCTCTGGGCCCAGAGTTCTCTGTTGCTTCTCCCTGCTGCCTTTTCTTGGTCCCTGAGCTGCTGGGCTCTCAGCCCCTCTGGCCTTGTACCCCTGCCCTAGCCCTTCCTGCACCTCTGGACCCCCTGGGGGCACTGCTCCCTCATTACCTTCTCCAGTCTGTCTCTATCTCCTGCAGCCCCAACAGGGAGCTCTGCAGCACCTGCTGATAGAGGAGGAAGAACTATGGATCGGAACTAATTCCCAAGGGGAAGGTCAGAGGACGTGAAGACAAGAAAAATGACCCCGGTCCAGGCGTGAGCAGTGTGGTCTAGTGAGTACAGCACTGGACTTGGAGTCAGGAAGACCTGGGTTCAAATCCTGTCTCAGACACTTACTAGCTGAGTGACCCTAGGCAAGCCACTTAACCTCTGCCTGCCTCAGTTTCTTCTTCTGTAAAATGAAGAGGTTGCCTAGGAACAATTAGCTGGATCAGTGCATAGACCTTAGGGAATGAAGTTAGGAAGACCTGAGTTCAAATCCAGCCTCAGACACTTGCTAGCTGTGTGACCCTGGGTAAGTCACTTCACCTCTGTCAGGTTCAATTTCCTCATCTGTAAAATTCGAATACTAGCAGGATCTGCTTCTCAGGGTTGTTGTGAAGATCAAATTAGACAATAATTGTAAAGCTCTTAGCCAGTGCCTGGTGCATAGTAGGTGCTACATAAATGCTAGCTGTCACAATTGTTGTTATTCAATCACTTACCAGCTAGTGGGCTCCCTGGGCCTCACTCTCGTCTTTTGTAAAATGAAGAGGTTGTCTAGAAGTAGCTAGGTGGTACAGTGGATAGAGCGCTTGGAGTCACGAGACCTGGGTTTGAATTCTGCCTTAGTCGCTTATTAGCTGTTGCTTCACCACCACTTGCCTCAGTTTCCCCATGTGTAAAATGAGGAGACAGGACCTGATGACCCCTGAGGTCTCTTCTAGCTGTATATTCATGCTCCCATGATTCTTAGCCACTCCAGCCAAGAGCGACCCCATAATACTCTTTAGGACAGGCACTGCCCACCCTGGCACTCAGCTCCCTTGACGCCGCATGAGAGGATGGCATCTCATCCCAACACCCCTCCTTTATCTGGTACCCTCCCACCTTGGTGCTATGAGAAGCCGAGGAAGCTGTGGATTGTCTGGTGTCCCTCAGCAGGACAGGGGATGAATTGGGACCAGAATCCAGGTCCTTAGAGGAACCATGGAAGACCAGAGCTGGAAGGCGTCCGGTCCAGCCTCTGGGGCTTCTGGGCGACAAAGCGCTTTGCCAGGAGTCAGACTCTGGGCTGCTGACCCCAAAGCCTTTGTTCTTTAGGGCCAGGCTACTTTCAGCTAATCAGGAGAGGGAGAAACCCTCCCCGGCCCCTTTCCAGCTCTGGAATTTTCTGGACCAGCACACTCCTATCTGGCCACCACTTCCCCGTGTGTTATTTCCCATTAGAATGAAACCTCCTGGAAGGCAGGGATGGATTTTCTTTTTTGTTTGTATACCAAGGGCCTAGCACAGTGCTTGCTGTATAATAAGTGCTTAATAAACATTCTTTCCTTCCTTCCTTCTCTATTCTCACCCCTCCTTCCTTCCTTCCTTCCTTCCTTCCTTCCTTCCTTCCTTCCTTCCTTCCTTCCTTCCTTCCTTCCTTCCTTCCTTCCTTCCTTCCTTCCTTTTTCAAAATCATCACAATACAAAACCAGTACAGCCTGGAAGCTCGGAGGGAATCCCCTAATGGTGAATTGGAAGGAGCCTCAGAGATCACATCATATAGTCCCATCTTTTCACAAAAGGGATGACAGAGGCCCAGAGCAGGATCCTACTCCAGGTCATAGAGAGATGAAAATGCAGAAGTAGAATCTGCAGGACCAGACCTCTACTACACCCTGTCCCAGTCACCTTAGAAGAGAGTGTGGATGAGCCCACCATCATGAGGTGTTAACTGGGATTTGGGAGAGGAGGGAGGAGGGACAATGACGTGAGCAAAGATGTGGAGGTGGGAAAGCAAGAGCCCATTCAGGAAGGGGGAGGCGCTCTCTTTGCCTGAAACAGGGCATGGTAGAGTAATGGGTGATAAGGCTGGAAGAACAGCTTCGGGCTAGATTGTAGAGGGCTTTGAAGGTCAGGATCAGGTGTTTAGACTTCATCCTTTGGGCAGTAGTAACTTAATGAGGGTTGTAGTGGGGGTGATGTCAGGGTCAGACCTGTCCCGGAGGCTGCCTCTCCCTCTCTCTGAAATGATCTTGTGTTTAATTGTATTTGCTCATGCTTTGTCTCCCAATAAATATAAACTCCTTAAAGGCAGATCCTTTTGTATTTTTCCCTTTGCACTCCCAGTGCCCACCAGAGTGCCTGGCACACAGTCAGCACTTAGTAAATGCCTGTTAATTGACAGCTTTGGCAGCTGGAAGGAGGAAGAGTTGCAGAGGGGAGACTAGAGGCAGGAGGCCCCATCAGAAAGCTATTGCAGTGGACCAGATGGGAGCAATGGGGGTGTGTGATGTTATACAAAACATGACAAATTCAGGGTCAGAAGTGATAGGCTCATGTCCTGGGTCTTCCATTTTCTGGCTTTACAATGCCAGAGGAGTGCTTCGAGCCTCAGTTTCCTCTTCTGTTAAATGGGAGGGTTTGATCAGAGGACCTCTAAAATCCATTCCGTCTCTCAATCCCATGATTCTTGGCTGGTGGCAGTCAGGAGGGAGAGGAGGGGCCAGAAAGGAGAGATCCCCCAGGCAGGGTGGAGAGGACTTGTTTCCCCGGGGCCACCAGTGGGGTACCAGGGCAGAGTAGCTCAGGGGGTATCACCAAGGACTCACAGGTTCTAAGCTGGTGCCACCTCCAGAACAGCTGCGTGATGCGGAGCTGAAAGCCATCTCCAAGTGAAGGCCACCCCTGCTCTCTCCTCTTTCTGTGGTCTCTGGCTCTCTCTGGTGGTGAAAAACTCCCACGGACACCCAGACACAAAGATGTAGGATCTGGAAGAGCTGAGGCAGTGTTGATGAACTGAACTGGATACAACTGAATCCATCCTTCCTTGCATTCTACAAATAAGGAAACTAAGGCCAGAAGAGGGGAAGTGATTCCCTGCCATAAGGCCAGGCACACTGAAAGCTGTCCACAAGTTCCTCCAATACTACCTTCCCAAGCCCCCAAGGACAGGACCCAGACTTAAGCCTGGGTAGGAGCAAAGAGGGGTGCTGGGCTCCTGCTCAGGAAGGGCCTTGGCTTACCTCATACCAGCTGACAAATAGGGTCTAAGGTATCCCTAGGCGCTAGATTTTATAATGCCCTGGGTTCAGCTCTGTCTTGGGAAGAGACAAGAGGAGACCCGGGCCCTGCTCTCTGACAGCTCTTAGGTTAAAGAAGCAGAATTCATGCAAGGGCTCCAATCAGAGACACAAGAGATAGAAAGGGGGCATCAGGCATGAGAAATATGCCGAGAGACATCCCGATTGTCACCATCCCTCCCATCTGTGGGGGCTTTGGAATTTACCCAGTACCTCCTAAGTATTTGCTCTGTGTAGAACCCCATGCTGGGTACGGGGGAGACAGTCTAGATACCACACAGCCCCTGCCCTCATGGGGCTCAAAACCCAGCGGAGAGAAGGGAGGGTAAGATACTGACATGAGTAGGTAGACTGTACAAGGTTAGGTATGATGAGTCAATTCAAGGCGGGCAAACTCAGGGCTTTGTGAAATCTGAGGGGAGGAGGGAAGGAGCTTCCTAGAGGCTTCCAGAATCTTTCTAAAGCTGAGGTCTGCCCATGCCACTGCCCTGCTCAAGAAACTCCACTTGCTCCCTACTGCCCAGACAATAAGACCCAAACCCCTCAGCTGGGCAGTAAAAGCCCTTTACAACCAGGGTCCTGTCTGTCCATGCAGCAGATTTCACAAACTTCCCGTCCCAGCCAAACTGACCTTGCTGCTCCCCGTTGGTGACATTCCACATCCCACCCTCATGTCTGGAATATCCTCCTTGCTCGCCTCTACCTCTTGGAATCCCTGGCTTCCTTCACATCTCAGCTCAGGGCCTGCCTTCTACATGAAGCTCTTCTGGACAAAGCCTTTCCCTAGTTATTGGTGCTCCCTTCTTCCTAAAACCATCATGGAAATAGTTGTCTGTTTATCCAATTTATCCCTATTCCCATCTCCAGTAGAATGTAAACTCCTTGAGAACAGCTGTGTGTCCCTGAGAAAGTCACTTAACTGTGTTTGCCTCAGTTTCCTCATCTGTAAAATGAGGATAATAACAGCACCCACCTCCCAGGGTTGTACAAATCAAATAAGATAATGTCTGTAAAGCACTTAGCATGGTGCCCGACACATAGTAGGTGCTAGAGAAAGGTAGGATTTGAACCCGGGTCCTCCTGACTCCAAGGCCAAAATAGGTGCTACTGTATGCAACCAATGAAAGAGATGAGACTACCTATCCTAGAGTAAGGAAGCTGGGAGGAACTTTAAAAATATTTCTAGCCCAGTGCCTCCATTTTACAGAGGAGGAAACTGAGGCCCAGAAACTTGCCCAAGATCACACAGTGGACCTTCTCTGAGTCTGTTTCCTTATCTGTAAAATCAGTAAAATCTGGGGGCAGCTAAGTGGCTCAGTGGATAGAGCACCGGCCCTGAAGTCAGGAGGACCTGAGTTCAAATCCAGCCTCAGACCAAACACTTGACACTTACTAGCTGTGTGACCCTGGGCAAGTCACTTAACCCCAATTGCCTAAAAAAACAAAACAAAATCAGTAAAATCGAGGAGCTGATCTAAGATTCAAACCTACTCCCTTTAATTTTAAACTATGTGGCTTCTTCCACTATACAACATGGTTTCTTGGGCCCATTTTACAGAGGAGGAAACTGAGGTCCAGAGAGAAGCGGGACTTGACAAGCTCACAGAAAGAGAAAAACAATGGCCTGTCTAGGACCGGATCCCTGCTCTCTTGTTTGCCAATCCCAGAGTCTTCGCCCAGCATGTGGTCAGAAATGAAAGGTTGAGAGGAGGCACAGCAGGAATTATGGGACATCAGTGATGCTGCCAAGAGGCATTCGGTGCAGGAGGAGGGAAGGGGTGAAGTCACTGGCAGGCAGCTGGGCATCGTTGCTCTGGGGACCAGTTTCTGTATTGCATCCAGCAGGAGCCAAATGTATGCACAAATGAGGTCTTTGACAGAAATCCTATTTCCCCAGGCTAAGCAGTACCTGGAATACCCATAGTGCCTGTGACTCTGGAGCTAGAAGACTTCTAATCTTGGCTCTGTAATAATAATAACAATATTATTATTATTCTTACAAACAGCTAATGTATAGTACTTTAAGGTCTATAAAGCACTTTATATTTATTATCTCATTTGATTTTTACAAAACCCTGGGAGTTAGGTGCTCTTAGCCCATTTTCAGATAAGGAAACTGAGGCAGACAGCAGTTAGCTGATTTGCCCCTTGTCAGGGCTTTCTACATTACACAATGCAGCTGCCTCTGGCTCCTACACAGTGAGGAATCTGCAGGTGGGCATGTCACCATGGAAGGGCTTCTAAATCTTTTTCATGTATATGTGGCTTCTTGGGCATGAAATCAGGCAAGGAGATTATGCAAATTCATTCCTTATCCTTGCATGTACCCATGATTTCTTCTTGCAATCATTGCTTCAAATAAATCATAGGATCATAGACGTAGATGCAGAAGGGATCTTGGAGAACATCAAATCCATCCCCCTCATTTGACAGATGAGGAAACTGAGGCACAGAGAGATGGCACAAGAGACTTGCCTGGGGTCACTCAGCTAGTAAGTGACTGAGGTGGGGTTTGAACTCAAGTCTTCTGGACTCCCCAGCGTTCTAATGTCTTTAGAACTTGAACCCAGACCCTGGGGTTTCAACCTTTCTAGAGGTCTCCGATTTACATTTATGTAGAAGCATTGACTTATTGCAGTGGAAAGATGCTTGGGCTTAGAATCAGAAGGCAATGGGTCTTTCAACAAGCCTCTCCCACTGACTTGGTATCAGTATAAAATGTTATGGAAATGTCCTTCTTCCTCCTCTTCCTCCCTCTCCTCCTCCTCCTCCTCTTCCTCATTATCATCAACATCTTCATTGTCATCATCCACGTGATTGAGGTAGTCAAGGAAGACTTCCTGGAGGAGGCGGGATTCAGGTAGGTCTTGAAGGATGGTCAGGATTGGGTAAGAGGGAAAGGGGGTGCTGGGCACTACCAAGGGGAAGAGGCCTAAGCAAGATGGGTGAGGAAAGGATGAGCCTGGGGAAGGGGGGGAAATGGGACCAGTGAGGCCAGGTCCAAGGCTTACATATAAGGGATAAGGCACCTGTGAAATCCTTGGCCAGATCATGGACCTACGGAGGATACCAGACCTGGAGTTGGATCATTCACTTCACAGATTCCCCCTCCTTTTGCACATGGGGAAACTGAGGCAGAGAGGGGCAGTCATGAGGCAAAGGTCGCACAGCTAAGTAGGGGCAGAGTCAGGTCGCAGACACCACACCTGGAGCTCCTTCCCACTCAGGTCGTTATTGTATCTGCCCCTGGCTTGCCCCTTCCCCCGAAGGCCGCCTCCGTTAGTGCTTCGGGCAAGCAGCCGAGAGCCTCAGGGATAGGAAAGGGCCCTTTACCAGCTGGATGAAGGCTTTCTGCTCGCAGAGACATCCGCCCCTCAGGGGCTCCCCGGGCTCAGTTAAGAACCCGTCTCTTCTTCTTCTCTGGGTTTCAGGCGCAGCATCGGACAGCAGATGGCAGCAGCGTAGCATTGGGGTAGCCCTGAGACCACAGAGCAGAGGGCAGCAGAGCGGGAGGAACCAGGGGAGCTTGGCTCCGCAGCCCCAGGGTCTGGGTTCAAGTTCTAACAGGTGATAGAAGAGTATGTGTGTGTGGAGGGGTTGGAGAATGTCCCAGAAAGGCCAAACTAAGGATGAAGGGTGCAGGGTGGGGAAAGCCTGTTTGGGTACAGGGTGAAAGGGAGGGCGTGGCAGCCCTCGGCCAGGGAGAAGGGCGAGGCCGGAGAGGACGGGTTGGAGGGGAAAGGTGGAACCTGAGGGTGAGGGGCGCTGATGGGGGTGGGAGAGACAGTTTATTAAAAGCCCTCCCGGGCCCCAGTTTCCTTATTCAAAAAAGGCTAGACAGTCTCTAAAGTGGCTTGCAGCTTGCACCATCGATGTTCTGTTCAGTTCAACCAGTAAATGCCTACTATGTGCTGGGGTGTGGGCAAACTAACACAAAAGTGATGTCAGTCCTTGCCCCCGTTGCCCATTTTTCACCTCCCATCAGAGGCTCCACAAACCTCTTGTCTCCTCCAGGACAAGCTCACCCCCTGAAATCGCATCACCATGGAGACGGATTCGGCTTCGATGCTCGACCCCCGGCCAGCTACCTCAGCTGCCTCTCCCCACTGATTGGGGGGTGGGATAGGGTGGGAGGGGGCTGGAGGGAGGAAGCAATAAGGTCTCGCCACAGCCTTCCTTTAGAGAGAGGGTTCGGGACTTTGCAGCGGAATTCCTCACTTTCCATCTGCGGCTCATACCCCCCACCCCCACCCGCACCCTCACCCTCCAACCTTTCAGTTTGCTCTAGGGTGCAGTCCTTCCATTAGATTATAAACTCCCGGAGGGCAAGAAAGGCCTTTGTTTCATTTGTACCAGCCGAGTTTAGCACTGTGCCTGACTCCTAATAGACATTTGTTGATTGACTTCAATAAATTTCCCTTCTATTGGTGAGGAAATCAGAAGAAAATACATTTAAAGTAATATGAGGGAGCGGGGACACACAAACATTCAGGGAGATCTGGAAAGATCTGAAGTAGCCGGAATTGGCTCCTGAGCCGGGACTAGAAGGGAGCTAAGAATTTTAATTAGTCAGTCAATTTTTAGCTGGGATTTAAAAGAAGCTGGGGAGGTCAGTAGTTGGAATGGAGGAGGGAAAGCAGTCCGGGCATGGGGGACAGGCATAGAAAATGCCCGGAGATGGAGCGCCCTGTTCATGTGCTGGGGCACAGTGTTACTGGATTGGAAGGATGTGTGCTGGAGAGCAAGGTGTAAGAAGACTGGAAAGCAAAGGGCTATCAAAATGTGCATAGCCTTTGACCCAGCAATAGCAGTTCTGTGTCCCAAAGAGATCATACAAATGGGAAAAGGAACTACCTGTACAAAAATATTCATAGCAGCTCTTTTTGTGGTGGCAAAGAATTGGAAACTGAGGGAATGCCTATCAATTGGGGAATGGCTGAACAAGTTGTGGTATATGAATGTAATGGAATACTATTGTGCTATAAGAAATGATGAGCAGGCGGGCTTCAGAAAAACCTGGAAAGATTGTATGGACTGAAGCTGAATGAAATGAGTAGAAACAGGGAAACGCTGTACACAGTAACAGTCACATTGTGCAATGACTAACATTGACAGACTTAGCCCTTCTCAGCAACGCAAGGATCTAAGACATCTCCAAAAGTCTCATGATGGAAAATGCGATCCGCATCCAAAGAAAGAACTATGGAGTTTGAATGCAGATCGAAGCATGCTATTTGCTATTTTGTTTTGTATTGTTTTGTTTCCTTTTTCTGGTGGTTCCTGCTATTGGTTCTAATTCTTACTTACAACATCACTAATGTGAAAATATGTTTAATAGGAATGTATAGCTATAGCCTATATAAGATTGTGTGCCATCTTGGGGAGGGAGGGGGAGAAAAATTTAAAACTCAAAAGCTTCTGGAAGTGATTGTTGATAAATCAAAATAAATTAATTAATTTAAAAAGAAGAAGAAGAAGACAGGAAAGGTAGAAGAGGGCTAGGTCATGAAGGGCTTTGAAGGCCAAACAGAGCATTTTGTAATTGATCCTGATGGTGGGATGTGTGTGTGTGTGTGTGTGTGTGTGTGTGTGTGTGTGTGTGTGATGTAATCAGATCTTTATTTTAGGAAAATCGTTTTACCAAGTAAAGCATTTCAGTAATGATAGGGGGAAGGGAATAAGCATTTATACAACATCTGCTCTGGGCCAGGCACCATGCCAAGTGCTTTTTAACAAGTATTATCTCCTCTGATACAAATAACAACACTGCCAGGTAAGTGCTATTATTACCCCCATTTTGCAGATGGGGAAACTGAGGCAAGTAGAGGCTAAGTGGCTTGGCCAGGGTCACACAACCATTAAGGGTATGAAGCAGGATTTGAACTCAGGTCTTTTTGACTCTACACCAGTGCTCTAGAGAAATGAAATGTAAAATGTGAACCGTGCAATCGTTCTGGAAGGGTAGGTTGGAGTCACATAGTGAAAGGTTTTAAGAATCAAACAGGAGTTCCTGTTGGCTCCTGGGGCAAGAGGGGGACACTAGAGCTTCTTATCAAGGGATCGATGCAGGCAGACGTTTCTTCTCAGCTCACTTTGGCAGCTGGGTGGAACGTGGATTAGAGAAAAGAGGGCCTAGAGACCAGTTAGGTGGTGACTGCAAGAATGCAGGTGAGAGGTGATGAGAGGCTATGAGTGGAGAGAAAAGAACAGAGGAGAGCTGGCTAATCCTCTTTCCTTTGTAAATAAACCAGAGGAAATTCCCCTCTTGGGGTTTGGCGTGAGTAACAACAGGGAGGATGAGGGATCCAAGCATGTTGATTTGGGGAGTGGATAGGATGTGCGTTAGCAGTGACAAAGTAGAAGGTGATGAGGAATGGGGCAGACCTCTGAGCCCAGGTGGTCAAGCAGGCCCCAGGACTGGCCAGAAGATTTTGTTCTTTTTGGTGGGCTCACAGTTCAGAGAGCCACTTAGCAAGGTGGGAAAGGAGCAAACCCCAGAATTGCAGAGAAGGGTCCTCTCGGCCGCTGTTGCACAGAAAGCTCCTAAGATCATAAGGCTCTGGCTGGGTCTTACACAGCAGTGTTAGACCTCCTGTTAGGCTGCCCTTGAAGTCAGGGGATAAATGTCATTTCTTCTTTCCATCCTCAGCACCAAGTGGGAGTGCTTGGAGGCGACGCCAGTGTGAGAAGGCTGCTGGGAGAGAGGAGGGGAAACAGTCTGGAGAATTGAGAGCTGAGCTGGGTTGGAGCTAAATGACTTCACAAGTGGTTAAATGGGCTGGACCCAAAGGGCAGTCATTAAGGGATCAGTGCTGTTCTGGAAGGTCTCCAGTAGAGTGCCTCAGGGATCTGCACTTGTCTGTGTGCTGTTTGACAAGATACTGGGTGGCGGGCAAGCATGCTGAATGACAGTCAGTGTCCAGAAACGATTCTTCAGGCTAGACTGAAGTGTTAGATTGTAAGCTGTTTGAGGACAGGGAATGTTCGGCGCCCTGTTTTTAATCCCCCCCCCAGGCCTGAGCAGGGTCCAGTCCGAACAGGAAGGAACTTAATAAAGGTTTCCTGATTTGGATGGACACATGCGGCCATCCTAGGGATCCACTCCTACTCTGACCCTCTGGCTCTGGTCCGTTTGTGGCCCCAGAGCTCTATCTCCCCCTCATAGCAAACTCTCTGGGAGCTCAGAGCTGTGCCAGCCAGAGATGGCTTCTGTTGGGGCTCCGTCCTCACTATCCCTCTCTTCCCGGCAGCCCTCTTTGGGGAGGGCTGTAGGAGCAGGAGGCCTGCAGGGGCCACTTACCCCTCTGTTCCTCTGATGTTCTATCTCACCAAACTCCCCAAATTAGGGTTTAGCCTAGAAGCAAATCCTACCCTCCAGGGATGCAGAGAAAAATACAGAGGGGCCACCACCTCCTTCAGCACAGTTCAAGCCCTTCTGGCTGCCCCATGCCCCTGCTGACTCACTTGGAGCTTGCAGTCCACTGCGACTCCCAGATTTTTTTCAAACAAACTGCTGTCTTGCTAAGCCTCTTCCACCTTGTATTTGTGAAAATGATGCTTTAAAAATCCAAGTACAAGGTTGCAATTTTAAATGGCAGAGCTGGGACATGAACCTAGGCCTTTTAACAACAAGTTAAAGGTGGCATGATACACTGGAGTGGAAAGAACCCAGTGTCTGGAGTCAGAGCACCTGGGTTCAAAACCTGCCACTCACTTTTATAACCAGTGTGATCTGGGACAAGTCACTTGGCAGTTAAAAGGAAGTGGAAAGTGTGAGAGATTTGGGATCAGGGAGCCTGGGTCTGAAACCCAACTCTGCTACCTGTTACCTCCATGACCTTGAGCAAATCACTTCCTCTCTCTGGGGCTCAGTTTCCTCATCTGTAAAATGAGGAGACTGATTTTTAAGGACCTTACCATCTCTAAATCCTATGAGACAATGAATTTTCTGGGCCTCAGTTTTCCCATCTCTAAAATGAGGCAGTTGGGCTAACTGACTTCTAGGTCTTCTCTGGCTCTAAATTCTAGGAACTTAAATTCAAAGCCTTTCCTTCCTTTCTCCCCCCCTCCCTCCTTCCCTACTTCCCTTCCTCTTTCCTTCCTTCCTTCCTTCCTTCCCTCCTTCCTTCCTTCCTTCCTGCCTTCCTTCCTGCCTTCCTTCCTCCCTCTCTTCTTTTCTGTTCTACACTTAAAGAACATCAAATAAAAGAGGCATTTCATCCGAAAGAGAATAATTGCATATGAAACCACAGGTCTTTATTTTGTGAAGCTTGGTTTTCCTTAAAAGTTGATAATGAGTTCCATCTGTCCACTTTCAAAGCTGTCCTGCTTGCTGGCACTCCTTTCTGGCCTCCTGCTGTCTTTTTCTCTGTGTTTTTTTAAGCTGCCTCAATTACCCTCTTGTCTCTTCTCTATCCTCGCCCTATCCTCCCTTGCTTTTCCTCCCTGTACCCTGAATTAGGGGGAAAAAAAAGAAAAACAAAGTCCTTGCCACAAATGTGCAAAGTCAAACAGAGGGAATCCCCACCCTGACTGCGCTCAGAGGTGTGTGCCATCGCCTCTCTGGCAGGAGGTGGGAGCCTGCTTCACCATCAATGCCAGGGCCTTCTACCACCCTCTGCTACCAGGGTCCTATGGCCTAGAGAGACATTTGCTATGTGCGTGTAGGCAAGTCCCTGTGTACCTCAGGCTTCTCCTCTGTAGGGAGAGGGGAATTCTTTTTGTACTTTCTCTGTCCTTCCCTCCTTTCCTGGGAGGGAGATACAGGTAGAGACCCCAGAGGCAGCAGAAGTGCCGACCTTTCTGGAAGTCACTGGGAGGGGCTTTGGGCCACATCTCATTTCCCTGAATTTCCCAAACCTTTCTGGGAAGCCCCCTCTTCCAGGCCTCCTCCCCTGGAGACAGTTTCAACACCAGCTGATTTATCCCTCCTGGCAGTGTTTTCTATTGTCCTTGGCCCAGCTGACCCTCCCAGGCCTCTGTGGGGTTTCACAGCCCTTTGGCCTCTTCCTCAGGTCCAGACCCTAAGATCCTAAGAGGTCTCTGGCTGGCAGACACCCCAAAAGAGCTGGGGTGCTGAGGCCAAGCTCCCTCCCTCCAG